AAGCCGACCAGTGTTCCTCATTAACTGCACAGATAAACTATCGCATCTGACCACATCTGTGTGTATCTACCAATTTACCTGCTCATTTCGAGCGAGGTATATAGGCCTTCAGATGCATGTTTGATCTAAGAGAGTCAAGGGAATTTATCACGGTCACCTACTAAAAGGTAACACTGGATCACTTAGGAGTGCTATAATTGAGCATATTTTCAACACTGATCACTCAATATGCACGGAGGATTCATTCAAAGTCGTTTTCAGAGTCAAAAGTGATCTGTCGAAATCGGCAAGCTTCCGCATATTTTGTATTGTTGATGCGTTGGCGACGCAGATAGAAAACCCTGACTTATGTACACAGAAGAAACTTCTCCACCAACTCCTTCTAGTTTTGGTATATTTCCAAGTTGTATTGTGGTGGTATGATACAAATAATGTGTTCCAACGGAATGTGGTTCTCACATATTCCCATAGTTCAATACGGCATTAGCAGCAGACTATGATATATCTATTTGAACATTCTGTTTGTTGCTAGAGTCAGAATACATTTCTCACAGTTCACTACTGTGTCAACAAGAGAATACCATGCACATTTGAACATTCTATTTCATGTCGTTTAAGGGAAACCAATAGCACACAGTCAGTGATTGGTTGAACAATATTAACTGCATATATGGAAGCAGCGCTTTGATCAATGGACATATATCTTGACTTCCGTGTCTTGCCTTCTATTGTTACACTGTTACTTTGTTAGTAAGGCTTTGTTTGAGTGCTTGTATGACAGCTTAGCAACATCTTCTTCTTAACGGTCCCTTCGCTTACCCTTTCCACCTATCATACTCCTCATTATAGACACGTGTCTCCATACTGTTTTACTCACATCCTATTTCATGTTTCGGAGCTCCTATCAATACTCACCAGTCTTCTTTCACCACCCCCGTCTAGGTAAAATTCACAATTATTCATCACAGTTAAGACATATTTTGATGATGTAATTATTAACTCTTACTAATTTCTCATTATTGTTTGACAATCCCAATGTACACTCATACACACACGTACACAATGTAATTATATAATAATGTTATTGAACAGCTGAGTGAACGAATTCGCCGCCAAAAATAAACTCTTCATTCAACATTTTAATGGTCACCTGTGTCTTATTCAGGTGGTTACTTCTTTTCACTATCATCCAAACTTAGAAAAATATACAGACTCTACAAATAGGAATCACAATGAATTGGTATCATCGTCACGAATGTGTGTTATTCAGGCCTCTGACAGCAAGCTATCACCAATATTGTAATTTCAAAATCTCTTACTATTCAACAGTCGAAATTGAGTTAGTGATAATAACGACTAATAGTAGTTGCAGAAGACGTGGTTTTCGTGGGTCAACTGGTGCAGTGGATAGCGCTTGGGATATCTTGACTTCTACAGCTATTCGCCACCCACCAAAAAATGTCCACTATTCCTTTATCCAAAATTATGTCATAAGACGCTGTGTTTCCAATGCTTTATTTCAACCAGATTTAACACGTGGATGAATTGTTCAACGCGTATTTATATCAAACACACTATCTCCATAGTGTATGAACTAAAACATCTAAAATACTGGCTGATCTAGAGTGCACGAAAACAAATGTGTTTCCAACATTTTCGGCTGGGCATGAATAAATTTAAGAGTCCAAAGTATTATAATTATTAATTCTTTACATCTCTACTAGACTTTCTTGAATTTTACTCTTTCCGGTCGACCATGTGATATTCGGAATGGAGAGAGAATGTAGCTGTTAATGAGAGTCTGCAGTGACCTGTTGGAAACACTTCTGGTGATACGCCCATCAAGTTCATGAGCTCTGTAGGAGCGCTGACCCTTTTGACATTAATATTGAGAGTGGGTACGTTCTCCTCATTACTGAAAATCTCCACATTAATTTCAGGGTAATGAACACCTATTGTAATCTCTCGATATTGCCAATAGTATCTCCATCATTGCTCCATATTTTCTACCGTTATCCTTACATATTTACCAATAATTAGGTGGTCAGTTGACATTTTAAACTAACCAGGATATTAAAATACTCAGCTGACTTTCAAATCTCTTTCAACCAAAGTTTATTCGGATGAACGTCAAAGATTCACCGAATATATCGACTTGGTTGCGAATAAACGGTCGCAGTCTGTCGTAACCCAGCTCAACAACAGCCTTAAGCAGATGAAACCTCAAGGCAAATTTCCTGACGAACCCACGAAGTTTGTGTTCAATTATTCCTCAGTACATTTAACCGACGTGCAACTGGAAGTCCTATCTCTGGGCCCTAAATTCTGCGATATAAATTTCAACTCCGACAAACTCCATACTCAGGTCCAGTTTGAAAATCTAATCAGCCAAACGCACGATCTCAGCCCAACTTCTGAAGACGAATTACAGAGATTCAAGTCAACAATCATGGACTGCTGCCACCAATACTTGAATTCAAAATCAAAAGTCCGCAACCACCTAACGAAGCGGCACCGAGAGGAATTAAAACAGCTGAGAGATAACAAAGATCTACTTATAACTCGACCCGACAAGGGTGCGGGTGTAGTGCTTCTGAATCGAAGAGACTACATCGAGAAAATGAACGATATACTGTCGAATGAAGACAAATTTTCCCAACCTTCCAATGAAAGAAACAAGACGGAACAGATTGAGAAGCAGCTCACAGATGTCTTGAAGAGAATGAAGGCTAGTCAACTAATCAGTGGGGATATCTACGATCAGATCCGGCCAACAGGTTCAATAATACCAAGACTTTATGGTCTACCAAAGGTACACAAGGTTGGTCTCCCACTTCGTCCAATTCTGGATATGTCAGGTTCCCCTTACCACTCTATTGCACAATGGCTAGCAGATATTCTGGAACCTGTAAGGAAGCAATTATGTACGTACTCGCTCCGTGACACCTTCCAGTTCATCGAGTGCATACAAGACACGAATGTATCTAACAAAATTATGCTGTCCTTCGACATCGAGTCACTTTTCACCAATGTCCCACTCACAGAAACGGTCTGCTTCATATGCAGATATATAGATGACAACCACCTCGATATTGGAATACCGACAACATACTTGAAAGAACTATTATTGAGATGCACTCTGAACGTCCAGTTCACATTCAACGACACCATCTACAGACAAAAGGATGGTATTGCAATGGGATCTCCGTTGGGTCCACTACTATCAGATTGCTTCGTGGCAAGCCTCGAGAGAGGTTCACTAAAGCCAAGCATCGACAATTTGCGACTGTATAAAAGATACGTGGATGACATTTTCATTATTTGTGACAACAACAACGACCCCAATCTGCTGCTGAAGACATTTAACAATTGCCATCCAGCAATAAAATTCACTCTTGAAATGGAAAACGAGTCAAAAATTCCGTTTCTTGATGTGGAACTGACAAGAAGAGCTGATGGGAGCCTAAGAAGATCAATCCATAGAAAACCTACGTGGAATGGTCAACTAACAAGCTTCTATAGCTGGGTGCCCATTCAACAAAAGCGAAACTTAATTAAATCACTTGCTACCCGCATCCGACGCATCTGTAGTCCCGACGTTCTGGAAACAGAATTAGATATTCTGAGAGAAATATTCATCCAAAATGGATACCCAATAAGATTTATCGACAAAAATATGAAACCAATAATTCGGAAAAACGAAACTTTAACTGTGCCTAAAAAGAAAATCTACATGAATTTGGATTTCAAGGGAGATTTAGCAAGCGATATTCTCAAGAGAAGGATCACATCATCTCTGAGAAGAACGTTCTTTGCAGCAACGCTACGAATAGTGTTCTCCAGTCGCCCACTGATCTGCAGAAGCCTCAAGGACAAGATCCCGCATCTGGCCACTTCTATGTGCATATACCAGTTCACCTGCTGCTGTGGAGCCAGGTACATCGGTCGTTCGACGCGCATCCTGTCCAAGAGAATTCAAGAACATTATCCAGCATGGTTGCGAAAAGGCAATACTGGTGCAATAAGGAGTGCGATAATTGAACACCTGGTCAACACTGATCATTGCATTTCAACGAACGCCTCCTTCAAAGTAATCTACAGAGTCAAGAATAACATATCAAAGGCAATACGGTTTCGTCTCCTTTGCATCGCTGAAGCTCTGGCCATTCACATGGAAAAACCGGAGCTGTGCATACAAAAGAAGATTACTCAACCACTTCTACTCTCATGGTAACAATGTTTTGATTTGTTTTGAGCTTTTATTTTATTTTGATGACTTAATTTTGTTTCTTCGCCTGTTCCTTAATTGCTTATAATTCTTGTATTCACTTAAATCTCTTACATAGTTTCGTATTATCTACTTTGTTTCTATGTGCATCCTGAGTAAAACTCACTCATCAAACTATTCATATTATTATTGCATAACTTCTTTTAACAACTGTTTGTGACAACTCATCACCTTTGTTACTACCCTAGCACTTAATGGTCTTGACTTATATTACCAACCTTTACCTGTTTAGTTAAAATAACCTTAAGCAATTATAATTCTTGTATCCACTTAGATCTCTTACATAGTTTCGCATTATCTACTTTGTTTCTATGTGCATCCTGAGTAAAACTCACTATTATTATTACAACTGTTTGTGACAACTCATCATTTTTTTACTACCCTAGTTTCATTAGCACTTAATTTTCTTGACCTGTATTACCATCCTCCACTTGTTTAGTTAAAAGTAACCTTAACCAATTGTAACTTTGTTTGACAAACTTAATGTACACATACATACAAAACAATGCATATATATTTGCGATTGTACAGCTAAGAAAATGAATTCGCCGAAAAGAGACTCTTCGCTGATCTACGTGTTTTGTTTTCATTAATGCCTGGATGGGGATTATCCATGAATTGAAAGTTTATTCCATCCTACTTCGCACTCTTTACCGTGCATACCGTCTCACCATGATGAAGGCAACAATCAAAATCATTGGAAACCATTAGGTCAAGAAAAAAATATGATAGGTTTGTATTACATTTACTAATAACGATTCTACAGAAGTAAAACTAATAATACACACACTGAAATAAAAGGGGTAGTTGTTTAAGAAAACAGGAATTTGACTTATCTAAAGCTGATCAAGTGTCAATCAAAATATTACAAAATAAAAACATATAAGTCATCGACCATTATTATGGGACAAAATTCTCAACATCGCATATTATCTGGATGATAACCACTGTCGAACAAAGTAGATTATTGCACCGATAATTGCGATTCCTGCGAGACAGCCGAATACAATGGCCACAATTATTCCTGCTCCTAAACCTGTAATGAGTATGAAAATAAACAACGTAGTGTGATTAACGAAAGACAAGCCCGTAGGATATTTTATATACAAATAGAAATTTAATAAAACATAGGTAATCTTACAGTAGCCTCGATGACGAGTCGAAGAGATGACTTCAAATTTTGTGGATTTCTGACAATAGTTTAATTACAAGCTGTCAGGATGTCCCGAATATCTATCTCTTGAATCCATTCTGAAGACTCGAAAATCGTGAAATTAGAGAGAACTTTGCCAATTACTTTTTATTACATTAAATATTCACATAGTGAATTTTAGAAAAAACATATTTAAGCGAACAATATTATTTTCAATTAGATCTCATCAGACTTAACTCTAATATGTATAATTTTAGAAATAAGAATTCAGATATAAACCAATCATGGTGATTGTCTATAGGATAATACGATGGTGAATATAAATTCTCCAATTATTCATAAAAGTAGTATTAATTACAATAATAGTGATAATAATAATGGTCTTATCAAAAATAAGGGTATTCCTCTTCGCCCTGTTTTAGATATGCATAACTCTCCATTTCATGTAATAGCGAGGTGGTTAGTGAAGATTCTGGGTCGTCTTCACAGAGAAATCGTGCAACATAGAATTAGTGATGTGTTCAACATTATTTCTAAAATATCCGAGACTAATGTGAGGTATAAACGGATGTTATCCATCCATCTATTAACACTATTCACTAATGTACCACTTATGGAAACAGTAGATTATATTTGTCAAGAAGTCTCCGAAATGCAATTAGACTTACGAATCCCCTTGTGTAGCCTCAAAGAATTCCTTCACAAATGCACAATGAATGTCCACTTTGTCTTCAATAATTCATACTATCGACATTAGATGGAATAGCTATGAGTTCACCGTTAGGCCCAATATAAGCTGACTTCTTTCTTGCAAAACTTGAAAACGGGAAATTAAAGGAAATCATCAAGGAGTTTGATATGTACTACGGATGTGTCGATGATACATTTATCTTAGCTGATGGTCATTTTAACAAAGGCGAATTGTCGCTGAAATTCAACAACACCTTTCGATTACCTTTACTTGTGAAGCGGAGCAAGAGAATAAACTACATTTCCTGGATGTCTTGCTAAGTAGTAGAGAAGATGGGTCACTTATCAGAAGCGTGTATAGAAAAAACACATTCACAGGGAAATACACACACACTATCTTAGTTACGTGCCCATTCAATATAAAAGAAACGTTGTTAAAGGTTTTACGAGCAGAGCAGGAAAGATATGTATGGATGAGCTCTTACAAAAGGAATTTGAATATATTCACGGTTCCTTGCCGGAGATGGGCTATCCGAGTGGTTTCATAAAGAAGCATATGAAAACATCAGAGAAAAACCTGAGACTCCGACTGCACGTAAGAAACCTCTATTTATTAAGTTAAACTTTAGTAGTGACTTATCTAGTGAGATTCTATTTCAAAGACTTTCCATATGTATACGGAGAACGTTTTACGCAGCACACCTATGTTTGTTATTCGCTAGCCGACGAATAATTGGGACGCAAACGAAGGATAAGCCTGATAGTTTTGTCACATCTACGTGCATTTATCAATTCAACTGCATCTGCGGTGAGGGTTATTTTGCGCACATTACTACTAGACAGCTTAGCCAACGTGTTAGTGAACATCTCTTACCGTGATATGGCAAAGGACAGACATAAACAATCCGTAGCTCAATTTTGTCACATTTAATTGATAGTGGTCATGTAGTGGAGAAAACGACAGCCTTCAAAGTAATTCATCGTATCCCACCGAATCTTTCAATAGACTTCGTATTCGTCTACTGCACACAGCTGAGGCGATAGGCAGTCGAACTATTAAACCTAAACTACGCATTCAAAAGACGTTCGTACAGTTAGTATCTCTCTCTTGGCCTATCAAGGCATAACCAACTAGTGACTTCTACACCACCCCTTGTTTATATTTTTAACCCGTTTTTATCATCCCTTAATCTTATTACATATAACATTACTGAATTGCTTCATTTGTTTTCACTAGTCTTTATCGACTACTTCCATCTGAACATTTGTTTGTTTAATCGTGCTGTTTTTTTCATTATTCGTGTTATAACAGATTTCCTCACTTTTTCACCCTTATTATTGATAAGACCATTATTATTATTATCACTATTATTGTTATTATTACTACTATTATGAATAATTGGAGAATTTATATTCACCATCGTATTATCCTATAGACAAACCACCATGATTGGTTTATATTTGAATTTTATTTTATATATCAGAGTTAAGTCTAATGAGATCTGATTGAAAACAATCAATATTGTTCGCTTAAATGTGTTTTTTTGAATTGCTCATTATTCATTTTAGACGCACATTCGTTGTGTTTAACAGGTGACTTCACCGATTGCATCCTGAGATGCTACCTTACCATAATTCTGATGTGGTTTTTTTCTCTGAGCTGGATGGTTAGTTTGCGAAGCTTTCATCACGTTACTGGGTGACATCTTCAGCGCATACTTGAATTTGAAGTGATCTTTTAGATTTCTCCACGAGTTTATTAATCGTCTCTCCTGGTGACCTTGGACGTGATTGCCTGTTTGTGTGTGTTTTCACACCTTCTAGGTTACTTGTATTGGAACCGGTTGTTTCTTTGACTTGAACTTTGACCCTTTGTGTGTGAAGTTTCTTTCTTATTGGTTGATTGGTTGGTTGTCTACCATAATTCGCTGACAAATATTTGCCATGCACCGACGAACATGATAATGGTATCTTTCGTTTATTTAGGCATGCGGAAACAACATCACAGTCTGTATGTCAGAAACATTCAGATCATGTTTGCATGAGTTGTCTGTGCTTTCAGTGTGAAAGGGAATAGAAAATCGAAGTGATCGTGCAATCGATTAGAAAGAACTTGAGAGAAGCGAGTGGAATTGAGGTGTGCTCATGAAGCTGTATGCCTCAGCCAAAAGCCAGTCAAATAGTAATAGTAATAGGGTTGATTTCATGCTGAAATAAATGGAAAATGTGATAACAGTCTTTATCTAACTGAAGTGCATTCAAGATGACCTGAATTAAGCCTTCTTATTATAAAATGACAATAAAGTAATTAAGCGAATAACACTCTGCACTATTACTTTCCAATAAAAACACTGACTCACCGCGTTTATGTTTAGAGTCGTCAGGCTTCTGCGTTGTAGTAGAAGTATCCATCGTAGATATCATTGTATTCTCAGTTTCATCTCCAGGAGTTGTTTCACCCCTAATTGTAATCTCGGGAGTTGTTTCACCCATAGTTATAATCTCTGGGGTGGTCTCCTCCATAATTGTAATCTCTGGAGTGGTCTCCTCCATAGTTGTAATCTCTGGGGTGGTCTCCTCCATAATTGTAATCTCTGGAGTGGTCTCCTCCACAGAATCGCTTTGTGATCTGACTACTATCAACTGCAGTATACAAATCAACACTACGGAGAACTTCATTGTATTTTGTTTTGAGGTTTTATATTGTCTGAAAAGTGTTAAGAAAATAAATTGTTTAGTTAATCAAAAATTGTGCGATGAGTTTGTGATCCAGGTCACTGAATAGTATTAACAAACATGCGATAAATTATCAGGTACCAGCGTAACGCTTTAAACTTAAAATAAAACAAGTCCTATAAATATGAGGTGATATTACTGTCGGTATTGTACTCAACGTTAACCGTGTTTCCTGTTAAGAGTATCTCAATTGTCATTGCAATTGTAGTGGAGACAGAGGTGTCTATTCAACCCTGAATCTTCATCGCTTACATAAGAAAGTGTCAGTATCAAAATTGTAAGTAAGTGGCATCAGTGTCAGGACAGTGCCAAGACACACACTACCAGTAGTCAGCTTAGCTTTGTTAAGAAAACACGACGACACTGAAACTTGAGACGCATTAAAGCACTTTACGTTTTACAAATTATCATAATAATAATTATTATTATTATCATTATTATTAACAAATTATTGTGTTGAACTTACCTCACAATACTTCGAAGCAGAAAACTCAAGACCTTAGGTTATTTATAGCGGAATATCTCGTCCGTGCTGAAAATACAACGCTCACCTACAGCTTTATATATATATATGTTTATTTATAATTATAATAATAATTATTATTATGACTACGATTATTATCACTGGACAATGTAGTTTCTGTTTGCTCAACTCTCACTGGCATCCAGTAGCAAATACCCTACACAATGTGTCCTTCATTCACGTGAAACTCAACAACATAAACAAAGTTATCTACCTGTGTACAAATATTCACATATATTTGTTAATGAGATTTAATAATATTAAGACCAATAATTAATTAATTAACAATAACAGTAGGTAATTAAGCAGTAGAATAGAAGAGGAAAAGGATGCTACTAAGCCTTTGTATGCATACCTCAAAATAATCACAGAAGTATTACAAAGTTAGGAGGGCAAGTTGTAAATTGATGTGGAACTGACAAAACATGGTATCTGAGATTAGAAATACAAATAGTAAGATCAACAGTGTAGATAAAGAATGAATGGTGCTCCATGTGGGTTTCAGATTTTCATATGTTGTCGGTGAAATATGCCCGTTTCTTCTCTAAATGGCACGGTATAAGTCAAAGGTGAGACTCTGTGTTCCATATTAGACGTCGTGATTAGATTATCAAGAGACTGAAAGGTGACTGGTACGGCTAGTTGAATCCCTTCATGATCAGCTAGTAAATCATGCTGTCAGTTTACTGCTAAGATGAAGAATAATTTAAAAGCAATAGATAGATATGTCATCTATTTGTGCTTTCTTCTTATTCATCATTAAGGTGACTCTGTAAACGCCTTCATCGTTGTGAAGCGCTTATTGATTAAATGTAATAAGAATGTCCAGTAATTCTCTAGAAATGAAATGTACGGACAGGTTGATTAAGTGGCCTTGCGATCTCCACTGGTTCCTATACATAGTGACATTTGTCTAGCAAAACTAGAGAACTGTCAGTTGTAAAGATGGAATAACTGAAATGGGACTGTATTATTGTTGCGTAGATAGCATTTTGTAGTGTACGATGAAGGTCTATGCCGTGATATGATTTTGAGCCACATCGGTGATGTTCACCCAGTATGTCCATTTCATCTGTGATAGAAGAATACGATGAGTCTGTGCAATTTCTTGATATCTCACTAACGAGAAGAGAGGAAGCTTAAATTAAAAGAACTATATTTATATTGTTGAAGACTTCATCTCCTTACATACACTTCATCGGCATCACACCTTTGAAAAACAAATATAGTTTGATTCGATGCTCAGTATTTAGAACGAGGTCGATTCGCTCGAAACACGCTCTGAAGACAGAAATTCAGGTCGTTCGGGATATTCTAGGCGGAAACGGCCACCTAGAGAAGTTTATAAAAGCTAACATGGGTTAAAATGATCGAAAACATGAACTGGCAATTGTGGAGAAAAAAGCATTATTTTTTGCGCCTACAAGTGAAGAGAGAGATATTCGTACGCGTGTTCTATCCCAAGGTCTAACCAGAGAGATAAGGAAGACTTTCTACTGTGCACATCTGCACCTGTCCTCCTGTGGCCACCTCCCTTGGAGTGAATGCAAGTAGGCAGTCACAAATCCCTTCATCTCTTTCTTAAAAATATGTGTTTTGGCAAGTAAATTGTTCATGACAGTAGGAGATATAACGAGAGAGAGGAATATACTACCCATTGATTGTTTCATTGGGCAACTCATTTTGCTGAGTATGATTATAGGAATTATTATTATTATTATTTTATGCATATCCTGAGTTTTCTAATCTCATGAACAATATTTTTGTTTCCATGAGCTCACAGTTTTATTGACAGTCATTTCTGATTGATGTTCATCGTAGGGAATAATGAAAAAACAGCTGCGGCGAAGAAAATTTTCTTTTCGACAAATTCAACAACTGGATAGCTGTACATTCCTGCGTTTATAATAAATGAGTGCGAACGTTCCAGAATAATTTCCAGTCAAGGGTCAAATTAATAAAATTACAATTAGGAATTCAAAATGCCATAATAAACACCGGGGATGGATAAAACTCAAACAAAGTAGTATCATAATTACTGAGAGGATTAACATATTGTGCAATTAAGGCTTAAGAAATGTAGAAATTTCAAAAATAAACAGGATATTTGGATCAAAAATCTAGTGGGACCATAACTAATGTGACAAATAATTATTTATGCAATCAGGGAATAAATATGTAGGAATAATAAAATGACAAAGCAGACAGGAGGTTTGGATATGAGTGTGAATACTTTGGGCGCTGGATTGATTCTTTTTAGCACCGAGTTCGTTCTCTACTTGGTTATTACACACAAAATTTGTCACCTCACGATCCAAGTTCTAAAACTGCTGGCATTTACATGCTATCTCATTTCGCCTTCATACATGGTGTTCTTCGGCATAGATCAATTGAATTTTAAGGATGTCCACTTTCTTGTAGATGGTTCGCAACAATGTCAAGTTCCTCATCATGTATTTCTGAAACAACAAGACGTTTTAATATGGCCAACCAACTTCATTAAAAGAGGATAATAAAAAAGCGATGAATTGTAATAATTATATTTGTGAATATAATTCAGTGCATAAAAGCAGTTGACTAACTGTATTTCACTTACGTAACAGGATGAATCGTGTGATGGATGAGTTGTAGTTGTAGTCAGGAGGCAAACAGAAATGAAGGAGTATATGGAATTATTCAAGAGTTCTCAGGAATTACACGAGTCATAAGGAGTTGGAAAAGCAAGCAAACAAATAAGGATTCAAATCAATAAATATCAACACTGACTGCCACCATGACAGTATGTTATGTTCGCCTAACAAAGTAGAAGAAGAATTAGGCTTTGTCGAAAAATGCCTTAAGGAAAACAGGTATCCAAAAGGATTTATTTTAAAGTACAACAAAGAAAGAGATAAGAAAGAGAAATCTCCAACAGTTGAGAAGAAGAAAGTGTTCATTTGCCTCCCATAAAAAGGAGAAACCGTATCGCAAAAAATTGAAAAGAGGATGAAGGGAGCAATAAAGAGATGCTTCCCTACAGCCAGTCTGGTAACACTATACAGTACTACTTGCTTTATAAGGCAATCGAAACTGGATAAGTACCCTGCTGATGTTACCTCCAACTGCATTTATACGTTTACATGTACCTGCGGCAGCAAGTACATTCGAAGGACAGAAAGAAGGGCTTCTATCCGGTTTACAGAGCATATTCCAAGAAACTTATGCCTCAAAGGAAGTAGATATTTACAAAGTTCAATTACCAGACACCTAGTGGATACGGGTCATTTTGTCGAGATTTCTAAATCCTTGAAAATATTAAACATACAAAGGACAGAGAATATACTACGATTTGCTGAAGCAATTGCAATCAAACGTCACAGACCAAACCTATGCATACAGAAAGAGAGTGTGGTCAATCTCTTACTCCCTTGGTAACCATATCACTTTCATTACACTGATTAGTCATACACACTAGTGAGCTCAACTCACTAAGCAAGTTTTCAAATTGATGAACCTTGACCTTCTTGAGTTGCTATGTTGACACTGTTTATAAGATTTTTCTGTTTTCTGTCTTCTCTCACCCCTTCTTTTTTTTCTTCTTTCATAGTTTGATAGTATATAAATTGATGGTGATTGACTTAGATTATAATACTTATATTTCAGATGCGTTCATCTTATAATGTTTTCTCTATTACTTTTCAAACAATGAAGTATGAAATGCTATTATTTATAACCATTGTAATTTCAGGTAGTTTGCAGCTGATGAGAACCTGTGAAACGGAATGATATCATTTTATATTGCAAATCTGGTCTTTCTTTCTCTATCAAAATGTCAAGTTCCTCATCATGTATTTCTCACACAACAAGACGTTTTAATATGGCCAACCAACTTTATTAAAAGAGGATAGTAAAAAAGGGAGGAACTGTAATAATTATATTTGTTTATATTTGTCAGTCCATAAGAGCAGTTGACTGACTGTATTGGAGTTAAATAAGAACATGAATATTTTGATGGATGAGTTGTAATTGCAGTCAGGAGGCAAATACAAACGGAGGAGTATATGGATTTATGCAAGAGTTCTGAGGAATTACACGAGCCACAGGGCGTTAAAAAAGCAACCGAACAAACAAGGAGTCAAGTCAATAGAGACTAACAATGGCTGTCACCGTAATAGTAGGAGTGGCTGAATAATGTAGCTCTGATTGCAATGCTCCTGCTGCTTGAACTGAATGGCTTAGGCTTCACCCATGCAAAGGAGATGAAGGTGTTACAGCCAGTGTTACCAATATGTTTAATTATCGCACTGCTTATAGACCCACTGTTGCCTTTTTGCAGCCATCTGGCGTATTCTTCTTCAACCTTCTTAGACAATTTACGTGTGGAACGACAAATGTGACTGACTTGAGATACAGACTTCTTCAGGAGATCTAGTTCTGCTTATGAAGAATCAGGATTTTACATGTGTTGGATTCGAGTGGCAAGGCATTTAGTTGAATTTCGTTTTCTTTCAACGGCCATCCAAATGTAGGGACTTATCAGTTGACCGACTGAAGTGGGTTCTCTATTGACTGACCTGATTAAGCTTTCATCGGGTCTTTTGTTAGTTTCACATCAAGAAAGCGAACTACAGACTCGTTTTTCACTTTAATAGTGGATTTCATTGTCGAACGGCAGCTGTTAAATACTTGTAGCAATTGAATGGCGTCGTTACTTTTATCGTCAATGATGAAAGTGTTATATCTTTACCTTGCAGACAGTTGTAGACTATCAGTGGTCGATTTCAACCGACCGTCCTCGAGACTAGAACTGACTAATAATAACAACGATGTTAGTGATAGCTAATCACTTTTGTAACTACACGAAAATAATTGTGAATCAATGAGATTGTGCAGCCTAAGAAAATGGTTTCATCGTTTCATAAATCATTTACAAAATGTATCCATCTACACATGGAAGTAAGAATTCATAAATAAGTGGAATCTCTCTGCCTTCTAACCATGTCATTTTCTCTTCTAACTTGTTCGTTCTTCTTCTGTGGATAATTCTGGTTATAT